CCGCCTCAAAGTGCACGTTTACAGGTCTCTGGAAGGTATAATAAGGACTATAGCATTTTGGGGTCTATATTGGGGCCCCCCTGTTTAGGGAAACTACCATATCGCCAGATCTGGGCCCGCTGGTTTAATCTTTTTCCCAGAGTTTTCCAACCTGGACCCTAGACGCCAAACTCGAACCCTTAGACTCTAAACTTACCCTAGTCTTACTTAGCAAATAGAAGAACGTTAACCTTTTTAGAGGCACTCCGGCTCGAGTACCTCCCAGTGGTGTGCCCGGATAAGGGGACCCCCCTAACTGAAGCTCAGCCGTGGATTACTTGTGTGCACACCACTGTGGATTACGAGTGCCAAGCCGGCCAGGGCAATGGATTCAAACATCCTGCTCGACACGTGGCTGAAAGAATGTCGATGCTGGACCCTGGGTAAGCCGCTTCAGGAAGCCTCAATCTTGTTCTTTCGGCCCGTGAATTTCCTCCGGGACGGAGAGGGGAAAGCTACCCTTGTGGACCTGGGCCTGCCGAACCTTTGCGGAGAAAGGCTAAGAGCTCCCCGGGATGGACATCAGATCCCTATATGGAACCTCACGGGAATGGACCTCATCAGGGATAGATTGTATGCCACCTCACACCCCTCGCTGTGCGGGGAAGGGCTACTTCTGCCACCCCAGGGCATTCCATGTGACGGTGCCTGTGGCCGAAACACTCAGCCATACAAGTGGATTGTGGGCCGAGCTGTATGCTGGATTGGGTAGCTGGGCCTTTGCAGCTAAAGCCCTATGGACCCTCTGGCTGCAGACGCGTTCGCACTGAACCATCCAAAGACCCCAGTGTACTGTGGGCCAGTGATCAGTACCGCATGGATACCCCAACAAGCCATGGAGGGTCTGTGTGGAAGCCCCCCATGCCCGGCCTTTTCGAGAATGACAGGCTCTCCAGGTTTGACGGCAAGTACGGCTGACTCCTGGAAGGACCTGTTGCGCACTGCCAGGTTGACGCAAACTCCTCTCATCTTGCTCGAGAATGTAACCTCACTGCAGCTCAGACTGGGGCAGATCCGAGAACTCATGGCCCTAGCTGGCTACGTTCTCAGGTGGACACGGACCATCGACCTGGCGGATTGGAGCCCCATGAGACGAGACCGGATCTTCCTGCTGTTTGCACGCAGAGATGTCTCTATACAAGCGGAAACGGAAATGTGGCTTCCTAAAGGCCAGAGGTGTTCTCTGAGTGACTTCCAGTGCATTTGGCCAGCAGGAAGTGAACCCACCTGTCAGATGAGGACAAAAAGATCCTGTCCAACCCTGCGTACACCAGGTTCCCTCACGAGCCTCTCTCCACCAGGGTGGTATCTGCGCACCGAACGTTCCCGACGGTACAGAGACGCTACTACGAGTGCTGCCACCTCCCGAAGGCACACCTGGAAAAACACAAGCTTCACTGTCCGCTTCTGGGACTGCCGGAAGGTCCTAGACGCTTGTCGCCCTGGCAAATCGCGAGGGCGCTGCTGATGCCCGAGGACTGGTTCTACCGGAAGACCCGACCCTGTCAGTGAGATTGCTGGGCAACTCAATTTCCCCTTTGCAGTGTGGGTTTGCCTTCATGGCACTTCGGATCCTCAAAAACAGTCTCCTGAAATCCCAAGCTGAACTCCTACTGAGAGACATAATTCTGTACAAATCTGCCAACATGACCGAACACCGGTCCCAGGTCTTCACGGCCAAGACTCCCAACCGGTCAGGTGGCAAACCCTCTGCAAAAGGAGCCCTGACCCCTCTCACGGTAGTGTACAGGAGACGTTTCACACATTCCAAGATCCTGCCACCCAAGAGGAGAGTAATCAGGGGGTAATGGGGCCTGGGTATGTAGGCCTGCCAGGTGGAGGGGAAGACACCAAACACAAACCCTCGGCTGGACAATCCCCAAGCTCGGAAGACAGCCAAGAATCTCCGGAAGATGCCTCAGATAGGTCTTTGGCCCGAACTTAGCCCCACCCAAGCCCCGAGGACGCCTTCGCTTGACATCCCAGCCTCAAAGTCGGAGGATGAGCTTCTGATTGATGAAGACCCAACCCAAGCTCCAAGCCCTTCGACACCACAAAGGATCCTGGACTCAGAAAAATTCCGCAAGCTGGATCACTGGAACAGAAAGCCAGAAGGACCCAACCGGCTGAGCCCCATGGACCTGTCTCTTGGCAACCTTCGTCAAGATACCCAAGACGGACTCCCCCAGGACCCAAACCCCAATGGGCTTGAATCCTGTCCAAATCCCTGTGACGCGACCAACGCAACTTCCTCTCCGACCCTTTGGTAGTTCTGGCAGTACCTTTGCCCCCAACCGTGTAGGTGAGCTCAGGGCAAGTCGGCCCCCGTCGGAAAGGCCCCTAAATGACAACTCTGCTCCCCCGAAGATGTCTCTGCTCCAGGCTTGGCAACTTAGGCAACTGCTTGAGAAGGAAGTAGGCCCTAACCTGGACCAGACCCGTCACGCGATCCCCTGCACGAGTAGCTCTCCTCAGGACCTCCATCTTGGTCAAGCTTTGGCATCCTGCCCCGGACCTGAGACTTGTAGATACCCGCTCCTGTGCCGCCATGGCTGGTCAAGCTGACAGCGACAATGCCCAGCAGTCAGGCCTGGACGACGATCATGACCGAGACCAAGGAGATGTTCGAGATGGGCCGGAACCTGCCACCCAGTCTGTGGATGGCCCCAACCCTTTCCTGCAGGAGGAAGACCTCAACGAGGATGAGGAGTCCGAAGCCCAAGACGAGGATGACGAAGACGGGGCAACTGCCCACACCCCAGATCCCAGCAACGCGGAACCCTACCTGGACCGGTGATCCCAGCCGGCGTGGCCTTGCGCCCTCGCGGGATTTGGTCACCTTCGAATTCCGCAGGGAAGGTGACAAGGACAAACTGGTCCTCCACAAGGAGATGCCTGTGGGCCTGCTGAAATGGTATTTCAGTTCTCCCTCTGTGTTCTGCAGAGTCTCTATAAAGTTCCGCCACGTGCAGGTTGCCAGCAACACGACCTTGGGGGGGCTCTTCAATTTGTCTAGCAAAGACAAGCCCCCCAAAGGCCGAAAGAAGGGCTCCCAACCGAAGGGAAAAGGACGTGGTAAGTCCAAGGCAAGCCAATTCTTACCAGCAAGAATCTTTCTAGGGTGCCCCTTACCTTCGCGGCTGACCTGAAGCACATCGAGAAGATGCTGGCCTCGGACCTTACCACCCCCCTGTCCGGAAGAAGACCCTACCCTGACCGCGTGGGAGAAGTTTATGCCGTGTGTGCGCACTGTTGCCGGACGGGCGTCCATTTATGATGGACTTTAATGGCCAGGAAAGGTCATTGATGTGGATGGAAGCCATCCTGAGAGCGAGATTTCCATCTCAGTTCTCGCCCGACCGGGTGGTGGCATACGCGCCGTGCAGGTGTGGCTCCCACTAAAGACCTCTGCCCCACGGAGTAATGTTCCCGCCAGGGAAATCTCACCATAGGTCTCCTGCCAGCATCTGCAACAGAGAGCCTCCGCCCTGGCCTCCGCCCTGACATCCCCAAGCACGACCCCTACAAGAGTCACAGGAGGGATATCTACAGCGATACCCTCGTCGACTTCAACCGCGAGTGTCTCACCCTGTCCCTTGCTGGACTCCCCGGCGGATCCCCTGAGGCAGCCATTAGGGCAAAGATCCTGCAAATCCTAGGGGACAAGAACGTCCCGGACGAGGTAGCCAAGGCTAAGGTAGATGAGGCCCTGCGTCTGTGTGGGAAGCAGTTAGAGGGATGGCTCGGTCACCCCGCCTGGCAGAACCTTAAAAAGCTGTGGTTGGCACTAAAGTTACCTTTGTTGACCGTAAGAAGGGTAAGGAAGGCTTATTGACGACCCCTGGAAAAGCGCGGCCTGTAGGGTCCCGAGAACCCAAACCAACCGGGGGTAACCCCAAACTGAAACAAACGGTCCAGTCAGAGATCACGCCAATCCCAGAGGCATGGCAAAACGAAGATGGAACGTGCCCCGCCCTCCTCAGCAAACTCCAAGTTGGCAACTGTGGCCTCGTCCTCATGACCAAGACCCAACTAGAGGCGTGGTCAGACACTGCCACGCCGCTCTCCGTGGATGAACTCTCGGTCATTGTCTTCCCGCCTTTGTCAACCAATCCTACTTCCAGGGAGTGAACCTTCCCCACACCGAGGACACAACTGCCCTCTTGAGAGGCAGCCTCATACACCTGGCGACCAAGAAAATCACCCTTGCAGGGACAAACACAACGGTTGATTTCCCCGAACACGACGCCGTCTCCATGATCGTCGAGATATATCAAAAGGATGTGGGCCAAACCCAGTGGGAGGCAGCTATCAAGGATCTGCCAGCGTATGTTTCGCGCACCCTGAGTCCGGCAACCCTCCAATCCAACTGGGGGGCCCGATATTTCGGACCTGATGGGAAGGTTACTGAGAGATCTAAGAGTGTCAGCGGCGCTCAACATCCTAGTCACCTCGTCTGAAGTCCAGCCAATCCTCCGCCTGTCAGGCCCAATCCTCTGGGTCTCCCCGCGAGTCGGCCATCTGGCTTAATGAGACAAATCTCCAAGCAGCCCAAGTCCAGCACGATAAGATCAGCAAGGCTTATGGCCTGGTGAGGTCCCGTCGGGATTTGGGGATACGCGTGCTGGCCAGCGACTTTGAGCAACTCCGAAAGGTTGTACACCCAACCAAGGCTTTCATGCCCGCATTGGGTCCAACCGAAGACATTACGTTATACAAGTTGAGCCCTACCCCGATTGGGGCAACCGCGGAAGACGTTTCCAACTTCCTGACGACACAGGCAAAGCTATCAGGGGTGGCGAGGAAACAATTGAACACAAAGGCCTGGCTTGTTGCGGTGGTGGGCAAGGCCCCAAACTATTTGCAAACCAAGGCAGGGTTTGTGATTTTCCAGCAGTGGAAACAATGGAGGACGCCGAGCACAGTTCAAGAGGCTACGGTTGTCGGACCCCGATCCCTTCAGTGGGCCGAACCGGCGGGCTCGGTCACCAAACCCCAAGCAACGGCCCCCCCTCAAGGACCGGGCAACCGACCTGATCCCCAAGGCCCCGTCCAAAATCTCCTGGATGTCAAGGTCAAGGAAAGTGAAGAACAGATCCTGAAGTCCGTTGAGGAGAAAATCCTCCAGGCCACGCAAGAAAACCAAAAGGATATCCTCAAGGTTAAGGAGCCGCTGGCCAAACAAGAGAACAACGTGGAGCAAATGCAAGCCTCCCAAACGGAAATGGCCGACCCAGTCGGAAATCCAAGCGGATATTATGCAGCTCCAGGAGGACTCCCAACGACATCAGTCCACACTGCAGGCATCTATATCTAAACTGGAGGCCTCCGCCCAATCCCAGACGGAAACAATGACAACCAAATTTGAACAGGTCCTTGCGGAAATCGGCCGCCTCAGTAGCATTAAGCGAACCCCTAGTCACTCCAGGGACCCGCCTCCGGAAAAACAGCCAAAGCGCTCCTGAACCCTCGAGCCAAGACTGCTTTTTTTCACCGGGGCTAATTTACTTTGCAATACTGTTCTGTAGTGTTGTCTCCTGCGTTACTTCCCTGTGTCTGTATAGTGTTTATCAGCCTATCGGACCTTTTGAAGGTGACCCCACGGTGTACCTGAATGGTTCTATTGGTTGGTATCTAGGACGGAAGCTGCAGGAGGCCGCCCCAGAGCCCCCACACCCAGGCAAGGGTACGGTCAACCAGTGTATAGGTAACAATAGTATGCTTCCCTGGGTGCGGCGCCCGGATCTTGAGCCGCTGTGGCATTCTGGCCGGGACTTTTCCCCCTCCAACCTTTACTATATGGGTAGTATTTACTGGGACCTCGAGGACGGCCATACGCCACATTTTGCACTAATTTCCCTCCGGGAACTTGCTGTGGAAAGTTGCCAATATCGTGGAGATACCCTTCATTTTAAGGACGCAATAGCTCCTCTTTCGCACAGAATCTCCACGAGGTTGGATGTAGCCACAGAGCCCGCGCAGTTTGTCGGTACCGGGTCTCTCAACTATGGGTTCATCTTTAGGGGTAAGGATGACCGACAGCTGGGGCCTGCACAGACCGCCGCGACCACGCGAGCTGAAAAAGTTAACGACTCAAACCAGGGTTCCCCCTGGAACTCAACACTCCTGCCCCTTTCCCAACTTGGTAAGGGTTTGACCTCAAAGAATCTAACGTCTCATACCACCCAAAGCCCCTTCTCAATGTCATCGACCTTACTTATGCACGTTTTAGTCTTGTTCCAACTTTTGTTCCCTAGGAGCTTTTGGGGAAAAAGCAAGTCTTGGTTACTTCTTGCGTTTGTCCCTCAGGCTCTCCCCGTAGCAGCCTTTAGGGGTGACCGTATCACACGCACTTCTCTCTTGGCATGTAGGCAACGTTTTACTAGTCGTACTTGGAGATTCAATGGCCTGTTCAATCAAAAGGTTCAGCAGCGCCTTAAACATGTGAGACGTTTCTGGGACCCAGGAATTCAAAAAACCGGAGCCCCTCACCTGGCCCTGTCCTTAATTGCCCTCCTCGGAACGACGAGATCCCCCCTAACTGTATCATGGCCTTTACAGAGACCTGTGTAACCAAGAATATTTTCCCTCTTTTCAAAAGCAAAGCTAACAAGAACAAACTTTATACATCTGTCTCAGCCCTATCCAACCCCAGGCCCAATGCCGATTCGCGGGGATTCTGAGTATAGAGGTCAAGCAGGAGGCGTAGCTCTTGTCTCTACCTTCCCGGCCAGACCTAGTTGTATCCCCATCCCTACCTTTACCTGGCTCTCAACTCGCGTAGCCGAAGTTTTGGTTGCAATTTCCCCCCTCCAGGTGATTCGCGTCATAGGGATCTATGGACACCCCAACAAGCTCCCTACGGCCCCTGGACTTACAAACCAACTCCTCGAGGACTTGGACAAACACACACAACCATCCACTATTCCGTGCATCATTATGGGGGATTTTAATGTCGGTCTGGAGCAACTGCCAGCCATCTGCAGACTCACCAGAATGGGCTGGTGGGACGCAGCCAAGCTGTATTGCTCCCAAACAGGTGTTGAACCCGAACCCACGTGGAACCACCAATCGCGGATTGACTTCATAGTCATCAGCCCATCACTGGTACCCCTGTTCCGAAGCCTCTTCACCAAGCAGGACGCTGTCTCGGACCATGCCAACGTTACATGTATTCTGTCTGTCCCTGTCGGGATAAGATATAATCTGGTCTGGGAAAGGTGTAAGGACACTTGCCCACTGGACCTGCATACCCGAGATGATGATTTACAACATATTGATTGGAGCAAGTTCAGGAACATGATTGGCATCAGGAACGTTGAACAAGCGTACAAGGAATTCTGCATCAATTTCGACAACGCAATTGAGATTGCCTCCGCTGTACTCGACATTAACCCTGGCCCTTTCAGAGGACGCAAAGTTGCCAGGAAAATCAGGGAACTCCCGCCCCTGCCGGTGATCCGGAGGTCCAGGACGGGAGAACCCCAACCCTGTCAGGACGACTCACCCCTATGGTATCGGCAGCATATCAGACAGATTCGCAGGCTGCACGCAGCCCTTGGACAGATAAGGGCCGCAGTGCGCCAGCAGTCTGAGAGCGCCATGTATGCAGCAAATAAAACTTGGACTAGCATCCTTCGGGCCGCTAGTTTTTACCCAGATTTCAAAACCTGGATTGGTGATAACATGCATGTTATCTTGCCAGACTTCTTGGTGCCGTCCCATCTGCATTTGGTTCAGTGGGTTTACTCCTTCCTCAAGTCCCAAGAGTCCTCATGGATGCACAGTTTGGGGAAGGCCAAGGAGAAGGTCTTCACTGAGACAATGGATGATGACTGGAATAAGGGAGCCTCCAAACATTTTCGCTCAATTAAACCACCCCCAAGAGACTCCCCTTCGCTCTTTGACGTTCCTTCCCCTGCGACTATCACGAGACATAGGCACGACAAGGATGGCCCCTTCTGGATTACCGCCCACTCTGACATCCCTCTGGAAGCCAGTTTCGTGCAGTTTCAAGACCCACGTGTGCCTATCCTCAGGACCCAAGGATTTAATGTTCAAATTGGTAAACCCCTTATTGGACCCGCGCAAATGAGCGTGGATTTTATCACAGTGACGGCAGACCGTGATAAAATTTTCCACATGATACATTGTTACTGGAAACGCTTCTGGGAAGCGCGTCCCCAAATCGATGAGGCTTTATTAGAGCAGGTGCTGCTTTCGGGCCCATCCGTGTCAGCTTTTTCGGCTACCATCGGCCTGGGTGAGCTTCGGAGGGCCCTCAAACACCTCAATATCAACAAGGCCAGAGGCCCCGATTCCTGGTCAAATGCTGACTTGAAGCAAATGCCTGAATCCTTTCTACCTCACCTGCAGTCGTTATTACAAATCTTCACAGACACAGCAATATGGCCCGAGGCTTTACTTCATGCAACGGTCACAATGTTGTCAAAGGTGGATTCCACATTCGACATTGGCCAAACACGTCCCATAACCATCCTCAGTTGCCTTTATCGCCTGTGGAGTAAACTCATGGCTACAAAGTTCATTGACAACGTCGTTGCCTACTTACCTAAAGGAATCCAGGGTAACAGGCCGGGGGCAAGCTCCAAGTGGATTTCCACCTATACTCAGATCCTGAGTGAACAAAGCATGGAGGAAGCCGAGAACTTTTCCGTAATATCACTGGACCTCACAAAAGCGTATAACCTGCTGGCCAGGGAAATGCTCAAGCGTACCAATAGGACCTTCGGAACCCCGGTTGAAGTCATAGACTCATATTTCGCGTTCCTTGATGCAGTTCAGAGGTCTTTCCTGGTCTATGGTACCCTATCCGACCAACAATCCTCAAAAACTGGTGTCCCGGAAGGATGCGCTTTTGCGGTTTATAATATGCTGCAATTGAATTGGGTTGTTTCCACGTACCTCGACATGCGTCAGGAAGAACAGTCTTCCGTGACCTTCATAAGCTACGTGGACAATTGGCTCATGCATTCGTATCACCTCGGCACTCTTAGAGAGGCATATGACTCCGTCTACCTCGCGTCTGAGGCTTTTGGATTCGTAATCTCCCGGGGTAAGACATGGGCCTCATCTACTTCCAAGGACTTTAGGAAAGCCCTGAAAAGTTGGTTCCCTCAAAACCCTGGACAGGTGGTCCAACATAAGCAGGAACTCGGTTGCCTCCTCCGATTCTCAAAACAACCCAGTATACAGGACGCTCTCCCCAGGTGGGAAGACGGCCTGTGTAGAATCGATCGATTGATCCACAAGAAATGGAACACTGCAAGGAAAATCCAGGTTATTCGCCAGGGAG